ATAGGCAACCACTGAATTTTTACAAAAGATCTGACAGTCAATAATGGCACTCACAGAACATGAATTTAACATCACATGTGCTAGTTCTGACAGAAAAAAGAGATACAATCAGACCAAAGAACAGCTGCTGCTTGAACCACAGTCTCAGTGTACCAATTGTTCCTGATAACCCAGAGCATGAGACTACTTCAAAAAAGAAAGTTTCTCCTACTGCTTCAAACAAAACTGATGTGGACATAGAAACCTCTGATGTGGACATAATCTGACACAGAGGTACCATCCATCCATTTTATTCTTTCTGTGGGAACAGCTCAGCTGTTAAGTACATCTATCCAGTACAAATGTTTCTACAACACAAATTTCAAAGGAATTGTAAAATCTAAACAATGTAAGTTTTTTATGTAGACAGAACTTAAAAAACTGAGCAAAAATACTGGCTGGAGAAAGGAAAGAAAATATCAATTAATGGTGCTGATGAAGAAAAAACCCACAGCAAGTTTCCAGTGTTAGAACTGCTGATCCCATGCATATATTATTGGAGTGTCTTTCTGTAGTTGTCTAGCTTCTCTGAAAGCAAGAGTTAAAAATACAAAGAAAAAATCCTTAAAATTACTGAAATGTGAAGCACAATAACTTATTTAAAAACAAGGTGACAAAAAAACTTGACATAAGGAATCTGCAGTGAAACACACATAAATTATTTCCCAAAGCTGATTTTTAATTCTTCAGGTGTTCAGAGCATCAGCCTTTGCTATGGGTTGCTCCTATGAGGAAGACTATAGAGATACAGAAAAAACTTGTGTTCACATTGAGTATAAGAAAAGTTAATCTTTCTGAACAGAGCACATACATAATTCACATGTCAAATCAGCTCCTTGAACAGGAATTCTAAAGGCACATGCATATCTAGGAAATATAAGGTATTACCCCCACAAAATAAGGGGTAAGAAAACAACCAGAGTCCATGTGGCGTCACCTAATCACCTCAATTTTGGAGAAATGCTCGTAAGTGAGAAATGAAGGCTCTCTGGGAGTTAGAGACACATCTTTAACAAAAATTTCTAAAGGAAAAAAGCACATAATCTAGAAACAGTGTACTGCTTCAGAGCCAAAGAGCTCAATTTGCAATCTCAAGGCCAGTGGGCAATAATTTCTGCTTCTGAAACAAAACACAGCACTCCTCAGTTCCATTATAGATGCTGTTTTCTTTAGACCCCAGGAAAGCTGCTTGGTTACTATAGCAACAGATACAGGAGAAAGCTTTTCATTTGTAAATGGCCACTCCTTTAAAATAATACATGCTATTTTTCCCATACCTTTTAATATGCATCAAATAGTGAGTAGAACTATGAAAGCCAATAGAGTACACAAGAGCACTTAAAATTCATTAGTTGATTTGATGATAATTTTACTACTAACGCTTTTCCCCCCACCAATTATGTTAGAAATATTTACAAAATAACACTGAAGTCTTACAAAATAATGAATATGAAAATCATTCAACTGATACATCCCAAACTGTCAACAGTACAGCAATTATTCACCCCTTACTGTTTTAGTGCATCTGTACAATGAAGGTTTATGTTCTGGTGGGGTAGGAGGCACACATAACAGAGTACAATTTAATTCACACAAGTCTGCTGCTTTGCTAATGAAATCAACACTCTAAATCAGAATAAGCTTAAATGAGACAATTTTTACTAATTGTTGACAACAAAGGTCTCATAATGGGCAATACATGTACCTTGCAACAGGGCTATATTAAAAGCAAACCCACATGACTTTTCCTCAAGATGTAATTTACTCATAGGGAACTAAAACTGAAGCAGAACATATTACAATTTCATTAAAACAAACTGTTTGAGATCCTACTGAGATAGTTCTAAGCCAGCACTTTCACAATCCAAGTATTCAGTAGCATTTTATCTGCCTACTACAAACGAACGTTAGGTCTAACACCAGATATGTGCAACTCATAGCAATCTTGTCCAGATGAGAGTTTACTTTTGGCACACTTCCAGCAGAAAGTAACTATGCCTCTGCACTAATAAAAATAATTTCTGTGTAAGAAGCAGCTCTGCAGTAACTCCATTCACACCAGGCTCACAAACAGAATCACAAGAGACCCAAAGTCAGGTACAGAGCCTGTGGGTAAATCACTGCTGCAACAAGTAAGACCTTTCTCCCAACTTCTTGATTTCTCAAACCAACTTGTGAAGGCCACTTCTCTGATGTGCTGCATTTACCATGGAAGCCTTACCACTAGCTTTATTCCCTTATTCTTTTATACAGTCTTATACAAAGCTAACAAGTTATAGGATAACCCATGGAAGGCTAAAGCTATTAAGGAACAGATAAGCAAAGCCTGCAGTAGAATAGAAGTGTCCTGCTGCTCCAATTAAAAATTAAAATAAATTACACAGTTCTTTTCTAGGAAATTTAAACTCTTAATAACATTATCTGTGATAAAAAAAAACCCAACAACTGACAAACAACAAAACTCTCTGGCTCCAGTGCAACTTAAATTATTTCCCCCCAGTCCGTAAGTCTACAGTTTCTGGATTCTCAAGATTTTACTTCATTTAATCACTGCTCACACTTTCCATCACAGAACCTGGATATCATTATGTATTTAGGACTAAGGGCTGCCGTCTGTTTTATTCCATAATCTCTTTGCTTTCCCTTACTGAGTGTTTTTCAAACAAAACTCATTAAACAAAGTACTCCTTTATTCTCGGGTAGATGGAACTATGAGAGGGAACAAACAGCAGTAATGCACTCGCTGTGGAGAACAGAAAAAAAACAACATTCCAAGAAATTTTGTTAATACATGCCAATGCAGTTTTATATGAGAAGGGATAGTCTCATTCAAGAGAAACTGCATTTTCCAGGACATCTACAGTGAAGAAAACATCTCAGACCTCACAACCAGCAGTAAGTCCTACACAAACAGGAATGAAACATAACTGTATTTTTAATTACAATTGTAATGTTTACACTTGAATTTATCATGCCTTTAACTTGGTTCACACTATTAAATGCAATGTATGGCTACCATTTGCAGTGCTTTGTGTTTATGCTAGCGTGTTTTTATACACTGATATTTTAAAAAGGAAGCAAAGAAAAAGGCTGATTCAGAGTACTAATTATCTCTTTCAGAATATGAATGAGAATATGAATGAGTTTTCGAATGAGTTTTGAGCTATCCAGACTTGTTAGTTCCTTCTGTAAGAGGAAGGTAAGCCATCTTTCCCATGGGCCTGTATAGAAAATGATATGTATTTGCCAGAACATTGCTTCCCAGCCTGAACAAACCGAAGGGATTTGGAAATAGGCAGGTCTTTGAAATAAGGTTTTAACAATGAGGAGCTGTTAATATTCTCACCTTAACTTTAAGCATGTTTAATATACATATGCTGGATAGAGTTAGCACATCCTTGAACAATTACCTGAAATAAATACGATATAAAAAGATTAGAGTACAAATATATAAATTATATATAGAGAGAGAACATAGAGAATTATACTATATAATAGAGGGTAAGAGTATTATGCTTATAAAGGATAAATATATTAATTAGTTCAGAAATGCCACTAAAGTCTGATAGAATACATACTGATCAAAACTTTGTTTTACGTGTAATGAACTGAAACAAGAGTACAATACTACAGATATTTTGTATTCCCCTTATTTTAATTTTATCCCTTATTATTATGGCTTTTCAAAAAAAGTTCCAATGCTGAAGACAAATTTTAATGCCATGGTACATATTTAGATAGAAAGTCTGGAACAAGTTTTCTAAGACAGAAGCCTGCCCTTTGTCTACCACTGATAAAAGACAAAACCTGTCAATTATATACCCCCACATAAAAGGCAAAGCAGGGTACCACTTTCTAATCCTCCTCTCCGAGGTTTCAAACTGCTGTTCTGCATCTGCAATTCCAACAGTCCAGCTGATGTGACAGCTACAGTTCTGTTTTCCCAGCTGCACAGTTATCATACTGCCTAAAATGTTCTCATCTGTCAAATGAAACTGAACTCTTTATAAAAGAATAGGAAGGAGCTTTTTTAATAAATTATTTTAAACTGCCACTTCATGGCAAATTTGCAAAGTATTTCAGACATGTGACTGATTCAAAAAAGGCACTTCCACAAATGAGCTGTTTCATACAAGCACTAAAAACATTATTTTAGAGACAGAAGATCATGTTCACTCTTATGACTTGCTAAATACTGCTGCTCTAAGTCAAAGAACAGAAATCATTGAAAATAAAAAACTGTTAAGTTGAAATAAAAATTAAATAAAACATTAATTTAGAAAAGTCACGACTAATTGTGAAAATACTGCAAAAACTTAATTCCATTTTATTCTCCTCCAAAGCCAAGATATTTTGTAACATTTATTAAAAAGATTAACAGGTAACATTTAAAAAACATAAATAAGGGGTTACCCTTTATCATACTTTAAATAAGATATAGTATAACAGTATCCATTGATATAAAAAAGTAAACAGGAGCTGACTACAGCTATCAACACACTTAAACAAGGTACATGAAGAGTACAATGTATTTTCTACCGGAGTGTTTTCCTACCACAATGACTTCTAATCTGCAAGTTTCTCGTGTTCCATTTACAATGTACATTCGTCTAGTAAGCCTGCAATCTGTATGCTATTACCAAAACCAACTGCAGCAAAATAAGTTTTGCTTGATGGCTTGCAATCATGTATGAAAGGGCAGCAGCTCCTTTTCACGAGCAATTCTAAAGCACTGTCCATTTGCCATCATCTCTGTTCAAGTACCTTGTGAACAGCAGCTCAGCTGCTGCAGGGTCACATTCAGATATTCATTCAGATAGCTCTAATTTTAAATGCAAGCTTTTTTTGTTTGCTGATTTCTTTTCCTTTCCCCCTCGAACTTCTCCTCCCTCCCTTTCCTCTCTGTTACACAGCCCGCTGCAGCTTGGCTACAAAGCTCCCAGTTACTGATTTCCACGAGAGAAAAGGAAGACAAAAGGTGACAGAAGATAACCATCATGGCATCAGCAAGCCTGCAATTCTTTGCTTTTATTCTGGCTCTGTTTGGTGTTTTCGGAGATATCACAGCCACCTTGCTACCACACTGGAAGGTAAATGCAGATGTTGGCTCAAATATCATAACAGCTATAACACAGATGCAAGGACTCTGGATGGACTGCACATGGTACAGCACTGGGATGTTCAGCTGTACCCTGAAATACTCCATTCTCTCTCTCCCAGTCTACATCCAGGCTGCACGGACCACCATGGTACTGTCGTGTATCCTATCAGCCTTTGGGATCTGCATCACTACAGTTGGAATGAAATGCACAAAGTTGGGAGGGGACACTGACAGCAAAAATAACGCTTGTTTTGCTGGAGGAATCTGCTTCATTCTTGCAGGAATCTTTGGATTAGTACCAACATGCTGGTACACGAGAGAAATTATTTCAAATTTCCTGGACCAGACCATTCCAGAGAGTAGTAAACATGAACCGGGAGGAGCAGTTTATACTGGATTCATCTCAGCAGGGTTTCTGCTTATCGCAGGTGTGATCTTCTGCTCTTCCTGTTTTAAAAGGCAGCAAGGAACGTGGATTTACCCTCCAAAGCAGCACCATTTCCCATCCACAGAGCAGGAGAGCAATGCAGGTTACAGCCTGAAGGACTATGTATAAATAGTTATTTCTATCCAATGAAGTATTTATATTCATCCAAGGGGGTTTTTGTGTGTTAAGTGTAGTTTGATTATTTCAAAGAATGTGTAACATAGCACTTAACCTTTCCTATATCTGGGTTGCAAGGTATTTAATTCATTTATCCACAAAAAGGAAAAAGTAGGAAAAGATACTTGTCTGCTATAAGAGTACTCTGTTTTGTTGATTTTTCAAACCTTTCTGACTTCCCAAGTAACATTTATTGAAGAAAAAGGAACTATTTTAAAAACATAACTGACTGTACAATTCATGCATTAATAACAGCATGTAACAGCAAAGATGATTAAAAACTAACTGCTTTCTGTTTAATGAATCAGACTTTCAATAACATATGGCTTTTTATAATGTATTTCACATTTTTCTCTTGATTTTATGTATGATGCAAGGTAAAAAACCCAGAAACTATTTGTTCAAGAAGCCCAGTTCAAAGGTTTCTAAAAAGCAGACACATCCGTCTTTCATTTTCAATTGTAAATTGCCCTGTTAAGTAGATTTTTGTAAAAAACAAAAACAACAAGCAAATAAAAAAATATATACACAAAAAAATCAACCAACCAAGACAAATCCACAACAAAAGCTCAAGGCTCCAAACCTTAGCTGTACTGTATACTGCGCATCAGGATGAAGGATCAGCAGTACCATTCAGCTCTTGCCAAACCCAGCTCTCCTGCCCCTAACTGCCACCTGCTGTGGGTTTCATTTATTTCATTTATTATTGTTAAAAAGGAAAGTGTGCTGGACATTCACCAACTGCTACTAATCTATCACTACACAGTGAATGTTAAGAGATGAGGAGCAGAACAACAAGAGAAATAACTGTGAAAACACCTGCAAACTGTAACCAACAGGACAGAAACCAAATTATCTATGGTCAAGAAACATCTGTAAACATTCTGGCTTACACTTGCTAAAGGTAGTTATGAACAGCTCAAATAACACAGTAACCACTTACTGTCTTCTACATTTCTGACCTTCTGAAAGAACCCTTTAAGTCCTTTTAATTATTCCTGTAGGATCTGTTCCAGACCCAGTCCCAGGTATTCTATTATTGTAACACGTACAATACAACAGTGATAAAGAGACAGCTTCTTTATTTTTAACTGTCTTATTTTGAATAATTACCTTTAACCTTAGTCTTTAACTTTTTCTTTCACCACACAGATTTTCTCATGTATTGCTCATTGGCAAAGTATGTTCTACCTAAATACTTCTGTAAGTGAGGACCACTATCAAGAATGAAAAGGGGTATGATACAGGCCTTTAAATTTAAGAATATAATGCTGGACGAGTCTTTCAATAAAATCAACTGCTATTTATTCTGTGTATTTATACATAACTTTCATTCCCATAGTACTAGTCTGAAATTTGCTAAAAGACTGTGAAAGAGCACAAACATTACATGTTTAGTATGTTGGAAAAAGATCTGTTATAGTGTTTGGGAAAGTGGACTTAACATGTAAACATTTTTTATTCATAGAGAATCTTCATTTTTCAGACAGGAAACAGGATTATATCATTTTTATTCTACTGTTACATAGCTATTTTGAGTTTCCTATGTTTTAATCAAGGATCTTGTTTTGTACTCTTCCTAATTCAATTATCAGCAGTTATTACGTATTGCAGAGACTTCACTATGACCAAAAAGCCAATTTCTTTTTTCCCTAGACACAATGCTGTGCAGCACCATTACATTAACCAAGAATCTTTTGTCTCCACACTCATAGAAATGGTGAATTAATATTCATGCATCAAGCAAATGAGGTAAGCAATTCCTTCTCACAGACATACATCTCCACCTTTATAAAGGGGTTTGACATGACACTAAGCTGTGATCATTACCATGTATGTGAGTTATATCTGTTTGCAAAATTTATAATCAAGAGGCATTTTTACATGAGGGTGTAAGAAAAAGGTAATAACATACCATGAGCATAACAAAATGTTCATTGGTTACACATGCTGCAAAATTTTCTTCCTTAAACTTTATAAAAAAGTAGGTGTACTTCATATTGCTATGAAACAAAAATCAAGGACAGAGCTATTTCATTCACAGTACGCTGCAAGAGCTTTCCAATAAAACAGATTCTATGAGAAATGGTAACATCTAAAACCATGTCAGTTGACATCTAAAAGAACAAGGACAAAACAGAAGATCAGTCTACAACAGAAGTTTGAAGGAAACAAAATAATAGTGAAAACAGGTGCCAGTTCTGTCTGAAAGAATTGTACTTTCTGCTTTTGCAGTATAAGCAATACTTACTTTAACTCAAAAAATACATCAAATAAAAATATGCCTCTCTTTAGATATATTGCTTTTTTTTATTCCACAGAGCACAAACTTCCTCTAGGCCATGCATATACCAGGATATTTATCACAACTCTGTGTGTTACCTCTCTTGGTCAACTATGGCCTTTTCAGTACAGGAAAATGGAAATATCAGTTAGAGCTTCCCAATTCCGGGACACAGTCTGCAAGACTTTTAACTATATTAGCTCTATTAGTACTCAAATTGTACCCACCACTGAGAAATCCCCAACATAAAACTGGAATTTTAGCTTTACTTAAAACTATTTCACAAACTTTACAGTGAGAGGGCATCCTGAAATTATTTTCCATTCAGCTAGGAAATAGGGAAAAAAAAACCCTACGCCAAAACCTCAAAGTAAAAAATAAGATTTCTTAAGCATGGTCATTTTCTTTCACAACAAACTGTTGTCACAACTAGTAATTTAACATGTTTGAACAGTTACTTGCTCAAGAAAAACTAATAGAATTTTAAATTTCCATTAAAATATACTCAGATAGAGGCTTTAAAATTCATTGTGATAAATGAGAAAATAACCTTCCAAAGGTTCTCAAGAGGTATGCCAGAAAAGTGAAAATGATTGAGAGACTGATAAAGGGGAAGGGAGATGTACTGAAGAGCTGAACCAACCAATTTAAGAGGAACTTTCAGAAGCTGCAAGTTCACTTCTGAAATGGAACAGCAGTCTGACAGGATAAGTAGTAATGGTTTTAAATTCCCAAAGGGTTGATTTAAATTAGATATAAGGAAGAAGCTTTTTACAATGAGGCTGGTAAAACACAGACATGCTGCCCAGAAAGGTGGTGGATGCCCCATCCCTGGAAATATCCAAGATCACATTGGACAGAACTCTGAGCAACCTCATATAGTTGAAGATGTTCCTGCTCATTGCATGGGAATGGTCCTAAATTATGTTCCTTCCAACCCAAATATTCCTATAAGCCTATATATATAAGCCACATGCATTCAGAGACACAGACGTCCGTTAAAGATAGGCACAGAATTTTACAAAAGAATCCAAAACAAAACAAGCTTCTTGATCAAAATATGGATTTATTTCTTAATTTTTGATTCCTGTACTCATAATGGGTACTAATAAAAACCAGTGGCAGTAGATAAGAGGACAACAAAGAGATTGTTCACTCAAGAACATGTAAGAGGGAGAAGAGATTGTTACTTTTTTAAACTACCAGTGGGATATAGGTGACAAAGTGCTGTTGCAAATAGGAGGGAGTTAGATATGCTAAAGATGACTGGGGTGAAACATAAAGATTATAGACATGGTAAAATTAGAGATGTTTGACAAAGGTGACAAATTAAAAGCTTTTCTTATCACAGTCTTTCAAAAGACCCATCAAATTCTTAAGGCACAATTCCCAAACTGTTTATAAATGCCAACGGCAGGCTTTCCAAAAATACTCCAATCCTAGCAGACTATCCTGCCATTATATCCTAATCTCCCTCTCCAGAATACCTAAAGAAGTATGCTGACCTTGCAGATAGGTTTGAAGGTCAAAGCCAAGTTCTGAGGAACCAAAAAAGAAAAAGCACTTTCTCAGAATAAGTATGCTTCATTCACAGGAATTTCACATCACTCCACTTTGTAATATGGAGATGTTCAAATAAAGCAGCCACCAATGTTCCTTAGTGAAAATAAGATACATTGCTTGACTGACATATTAACAAAAACCACAAATAAATACAGGAAAACCTACCTCTGGCTTTGGAACAAAAGCTTGACCTGGAATTAAGAAACAGTTTTCCACAGTGCAGAGATGCTGAGCCATGATGGACAGTCTGCTGCGTTGGTTACTTCCTGGATTAGCTGTAAGTCTCTATGGGAAAATCAAAACATGTACATCGGTGATACTGAATTGACCAAGTGATCAATTATATTAAAGTTTGATTTTCAGTATAATCAAATTTAAGACAAACCACCAGTTAATAGCCAAACTGTACGCCCGGTTCATCTCAGATTTTCTTCTTCAATATGGCAGCATTTCACTAAGAAACCACTGATTTACAACCTCAGTCCTGCAATCAAATGCACATGAAAAGGAACTCCTAGAAATTCTGCAGGTCTAAATGAATGTCAAAAGAATTTTCTATGGATACAAGAGAAAAATAAAACTACGCTGACTGTAGAATTCAAAAGCTGGCAGTACTCACACAGTCCTTTCCTTCCACTGTTTCTGTATAAAATATTACTACTTTCTTTTCTTCAAGATGAAACAAAGCTCCATAAACTCAAGATCAGCTAAAACCCAAAAGTTCTTCATAATTAACTGATCTACACTTAAAATATTTGCAAGGAAGCTGGGTCTACTATACCTAAATTTAGAATGCCTAACAGTGAGAGCATTTAATACTTAATACTCAATTTAAGTATTCTCTGATTTTCCCATGAATTTTTATCACAAAATAGTAGCCTGGACATAGGTTTCCTACACTTTTGTGACCTGGCAAGAAACACATTTTATTGTGTTTTGCTTGCACAAACAAATATTAAACATATGAAGCATGTTGTAAAAGAAGTCTCAGATTACAGAATTCATTTCACTAACTTACATAAAAACAGAATCATGATGATTCCTGTCTTATTTACCACCACCTCAATAAAAAATAAACACTGAACCCCAATTTGCATATCTGGTA